GGATCCTTTGTGGATGAGGTTTGCTGGTCGATCGAATTGGGAAGCTCTTGGTCGTGTTCCTCAAGCCATTATATAGCAGTTTTTATGCATTTTTCCTGCTGTTTGGTATCACCATTTCCAAGGAGGATGTACTTAGTCTGCAGCAATGCTTCTGTGGGTGGCACATGTCAAATTAACATCCTCGTGAATGAAAGGACCTCAGGTTGTTCAGCACAATACTGCAATGAAACACAATAATCAGTCAATCACTTTGCTGATCAGTGTCAGTAAATGTGTTGACATATGCCTCAACTTTATGTTCTTTTTTAAAAATTTATATAACTTAAATTTACATAATTATACCCTTTTATAGTAAGACGTGTGTTCAAGGCCTACTGCGTCATGAGGAAGGTGTATCCTGTTAAACTTCAGCGTTTGAAGCTTCTCAGGAGTGTGTGTTTGTGTGCTGTGTGTGCTACTGTGCCTGTTTAGTTGACACAGCTGTTGCACAGTGTTTGTTCAGGTCCCTTCCCTTCTGTCCGACTGCTGCACTCCGGCTTTGTTGCGCCTCAATCAGGAGGTCAGAAAGGAAAAGTCCACAGCGCTGCGTCCTCCTGACGTGATTTTCATTCTCAGCCATCGCTTATCAGAGCGCGTAGTGGCTACTCCACTCTTTTATTATCTCGTTTTTCCACATGATTTAATGAAGGTCATCACACAGGACTTGAAATAGAGGAGTTGGGGAATAGCTTTGGAATATATTGCATAATACTTTTTTAATATCTCATTTACCCGACACCATTGGTTTGGCATTACTCACTCCAAGAAGTGAGTAGATTATAAATAGAGCCACACTATTTAAGCAAAAAGCAAACAATTTAAGTTGTTGAGTGGAGCTCATCAATGAATAATAAAGCCGTTAGTTGTGCAAACAGATGCAAAAACAAAGCATGTGTCCCAAATCTGCTCCCACTCATAACTACGCAGCAAAATAGCACGAGCAGCAGAGTGCAAGGAGAACTACATAAGGAAACACTGCTGAATTAACAGACTGCACCATAAATAACGATGTAATCAGGTAAATTAGGTGAGAATACCTGTGTGGGTGCACCGTGACCGTGTGTGATTATCATTCGTTTGGAGCATGTTGGTGTCAAAAAGATGAATGTGAGTTCATTCACTGCACCTTCAGCCAACTCCTGAGAACAATGTCTTCTTATTTAGTTGCTAAATGGAACCGTAAAGGTCATGTACACTGGGATTATCTGGCCTGTTGCTCCAATTACCTGCAGCTCTAAAGTACTGAGGGGATGTTCTTAAAAAGTCTTCATGCACTGTGGAAGTTTTACCCTTTTATTACGTTTAAACATTGGATCATATTCAATATAATTTGGCAAATTTTTTTTTAAAGTTATTTTTTTGGCCTTTGTTGGATAGTGTAGTGAGAGAGAGACAGGAAAGTAGGGGAGAAGACATGTAGGAAAGGGTCATGAGCGGGATTTGAACTCATGACCTCCACATTGGGACTGTAGCCCTGCACATGGGACACCAGCTCAACCAGGTGAGCTATAATGGCGCCCATAATTTGGCAATTTTGACAAGCATCTACTAAAAAGATCGGTCTTTCATATCAAAGGGAAACAGATTTCTACAAAATAATGTTACGTAACTGAAAATATAAAACAGAAATAGATGATTGTGTAAGTAGTCACCCCCTTGTGTTTCGTAGTTGCACCTTTGGTCTTAATTAAAGCATCGAGCCTTTGTGATTTTAATTATCTGACACATCTGGACCGTGCAGCATTCTTCTTTGCAAAACTGTCAGGTTACACAGGGGATCACCAGCAAACAACCCTTTTCAAGTCCAGAAACAAATTCTGGGCTCTGACTCGGCCGCTCCAGAACATCCACCTTGTTGTCTTTAAACCATTTCTGTGTAGCTTTGACTGTATTCTTCGAGTCATTGTCTTGCTGGAAAGCAAATCTTCTCCCAAATCACAGTTATCCTGCAAACTGCATCACGTCTTCCTCAATACTTTACTGCATTCATTTGACCCTCAACAGCCTTCCAGGGCCTGCTGCTGAGAAACATCCCCACATCATGATGCTGCCACCGCCATGCTTCACAGTGAAAATAGTGAATGAAAAAGATCATTAAAATGCAGTCACTTGAATGTCAATTAATCATACACTAACATTTAATGACTGTGGCAAAGTGGAGGGGTGATGTCAAAGCAGCTCTTTACACATTTAGGTTATGGTTTTATTTTCAGTAAGCACAGTGTATAAAAGACATTTGGAGAAAAGAGACGTGACATCTTTAAACAAAAGAAAATCCTTCTGAAAATACTACTTTATACTAAGTTTTATGCTTTTAAGCTGCTTTCATCTAAGAACAAACCTTCCAGGGCCTGCTGCAGACGTACCCCCATTATGATGCTGCCACCACCGTGCTTCAGAGTGAAAATGGTGAATGAAAAAGAGAATTCAATTATTTGTATGACAATTAATCTTCCACTAAAATTTCATAATCATGGCAGCACATGTTGAAGTAGCCCTTTAAACATTTTTTTTTAACGTTATGGTTTTATTTTCAATCAAACCTGTGAGATGCTTAGGAGAAAAGAGGTGTGACGTCTTGAAAGACGAGGAAATCCTTCTAAAAATACTAGTTTACACTGTGCCTCGTGAGCTGCTTTTATTTGAGAAAGTTTATCAGAAAAGCGCAGAACAAAAGGAAACACATGAGCTGCTGCAGAGGAAAAGGGAGAACGAGTCGCGGATATCCTCACGGCTGCTTTGTTTGTGGAACCGTCTCATCCTGTAACCTCGAGCCTCACTGCCGGATGAAACACAAGTTTTAGCAATGAAAGTGAGCCTGCTTTAATTTTCTAAATGTTACTTTGGGCATTTAGTTTTGTCAGCAGCTCTGCAGCGATCAAATCAGATCCACTGTTTTAGTTTTCGGGTCTGTATCGACTCTGCTGCTTTGCTGACACAGCGGCTGAAAGAACAGGACAAAGGAAGACGCTGGAAATAGGCTGAAGCTGAGTCGGGGAATCTCTCTGTCATTTAGCGAGAATAATATTCCTACTATTCCAAGATCATGTGTCCCACAGGAGGTCAGATACAGTTCGTCTGACTCATAGGAGGTTCAGGCTGGAGTCTCTCTGTGCTTCTGGAGTCCCTGTTATACTACATCAGCTGCTTTTAAAGGCACGACATAGATTTGATCCACCTTATGTTGCTGTTTGTAGTTTACTGTCGTCTTCATCACCTGCACAAATTCACCGTTTCGGATGCAGCAACCACATGTTGATTGACGCAATCCCAGATCTTTATTCGATGTGCGTTCTGGCATCTTTTTTTTTGTGCGAGCTCTTTTTAATCTGTCGTAATCCGTCAGCGTCTGTGTGGCCCCAGGTTTTAGTCGGGGCCGAAGGGCTTAGCGGTTTACATTCACAGCGATCCAGCATGTTGTTAAACAGTAATTCACCCTAAATGGATTTAAACTAATACGACTGGCAGATGGTTGGAGACACTGATCGGGCCAATATCAGTGTCGTAAACATGGCCGCCGTGTCATAACCTCACAGCGGATGGGATTATTTATATAGTGGATCTTTGAGTACGATCTCTTCCCTGCGTTTTTCGATGCTCCTCGTGATGAGGATTTATTCTGCCAGCGTATCTGCGGTCAGTCACCTCGTTGCAGGCCATATGTGTCTTTTGCATGTTGTCCCCCAGTGTTGAAATTGCATCATGGGAAATTAATATCTGTACTAGTGCAGCAAAACAGATCAGATTCAGGTCTTTTAGTTGCACTGAATTGAAATCAGATGAACTAACAACCCAAATTGATATGTTTTGCCTTAATTGTATTACACATTGCTGTAATTTTGGTAGAAATCAATGAGTTTTGTATTTACAGGAAAACATATTAATAGCTGCCATCGGTTGGCTGCTCAAAGTTGAAGTTTTTAAAGGATTCGTGTCTGTATTTTAATGTAATTTTTTATTCCCTAGTAGAATTAATGTTGCTCTTTTTCCCCATGTGAACTGAAGCCAAACTCACAACATACTTGGGATTATGTGTTAGTAAATATACAATCTGGATTTTCCTTTTTTTTCCCTATGTAATAGTTTTTTAGTTTAAATTAAATTACCATTTTTGGTCTTTGCTGCTCCATATACGTCACAATAAAAACGTAATTATGACTCGTAGTGTAATGGTAAATGGTCTGCACTTATATAGCGCTTTTCTACCTTTGCGGCACTCAATGCACTTTACAATGTTTCTCATTCACCCATTCACACACACATTCATACACCAATGGCGACAGAGCTGCCATGCAAGGTGCTACTCTGCCATTGGGAGCCATTTGGGGTTCAGTGTCTTGATGATATAGAGCAAATTTAATGTAGAGAGGAAAAAATAAACCTCTATTTTTGGACACAGCGTCCCACTGAGCCTCGTGTTTGTGTGGCCGAGCAGGATGCTGAGATAAATGGAGCACATTATAGTGAACGTCAGAGCCATATGTGATGCACGCTCATGAAATCAGCCCGTCACAGTGGAAGCATCGAAGCTTGCAGGGTTCAGAGATGGAAGAACAACCAAGCAATCCTTGTGTTTCTTGGAGTTTATGCATTTGGTTCTGCATAGATGATGCATTTTCTGAGGGGTTGAGATGATTAAGGAGATAAAAAACCTTTATGTGTGTGTGTGTTTTACAAAGTGCATGAAAAGATTTGTGCTCATCAGATCATCATGAACAGATTTCTAACCACGCTTTTCTTTTTCTTCTTTTTACAGAGATTATGAACGATGTAATCAAAAAGGTGAAGAAGAAGTCAGAATGGAAGGTGAGTGGTTTACAGGAAAACACTCTAAAACAACAGTCCAATCGTTTTACCCTTTTAGCACAACTCTACACTTACTAAGAATATCAGCCAACATATCGATATCCAAAACTTTTACTGCCCAATAATTATTATCGGCATTAGCTACAAAAATCCAGCATCGGTTGGGCTCTAATGTTACATTAATATAGATTTGTCATTGTCAGAAAATTAGCTAAACATTAGTTACGTTGAATAGGAATGACAGTTTTCTACCTGCCTGGTATTTGAAAAACAGACCACAAAATGTAGACTCACTTAACTTCTCTCTGAAATCTGGAGATTAAATGATTAGACAAGCAAAATACTAAAACTTACTGTCAAAAACATTCGATTAATTGTATGTATAATGTTGTCAGCAAAAATATCAATCTGTTCCTTTTTCTTTCTTAGACTTTTTAAATACTAACCCATATTTTTTATGTTGTTTTATTAGGTGTATCCTTAATGTAATCCCATTTAACAGCTCTGCCATACATTCTACTTTAATAAAGCTTCTCGGTTTTTTTGTTTTGTGTAAAAAGGTGGAACTGTTCTTCACTATGTTTCGTACTGACTGGACTGCATTATATTTACATCTGCTCCGGATGTTTTGCTGTGTTCATGTATGTTAACAGAGTGGATATAAAATTCAGAATGCTGATGTGGACTTTATGACAGAGTGTTGGACGCATTCGATTTTCACAGATGTACTGAATAAAATATCCAGTGATGTATATTCATTGGACTAAAAAATAGTGAGTAATGATATACAGTTGGACAATAAACTAACAGCATCGGTCCGATTCAAATGCTGCTCATTCCTCTAAGAGTGTTTGAGCTGGAATTTGCTGCCAAATAATCTATTTGTCAAATATTTTTAAAAGCTTTGGAATCCAACCTGAACAATGATTTGAAAGCTGCACGTCTTTCCCGTAAAGCTCTGGAACGCTTTGTTAAAATTATGGGTTTCAAAAAACCAAAAAGGTCCCAAAAATAAAAAATCAAAAACATATAACAAACGGTAGAAACTAAATTTTTGATAAGAGTGATGGAAAAAGATAGAATAGAAGAGAACTTTATTGATCCCTTTGGTGCAAACCTCAGGGAAATTGTTGTAAGATGATTGTTGTAGATTCAAGTGAGTTGTAACTACGCCTCTGGATGTGACGGAGGTGACTGAGTCATTAATGAACGCGGGGGGACAGACGGCTTCTTTAAGAGCTTCAAGCGAGTCGGTTTTACCGTCAGCAACATGTGATGCAGTAATAAAGCCTGTTTGCGTAGTTACCGTCTCATCTGCTGTTGCCAGGCGCTGATTGTGGACCAGCTGAGCATGAGGATGTTGTCGTCCTGCTGCAAGATGACGGACATCATGACGGAGGGCATCACCAGTAAGAGAACACCACACCTACCGATTACACTTCAGCTCAGCTCAGTTTGAAGGGGTTTCACTGACATGCTTGATTCAAGATTGCCAAAGCATCCAAACATCATTTGTTCAGTTATTTCTACTACACACGATAACAGCAATTTCTGCTCGACCATGTCCGACTTGGCTGAAGATTTTATCGCATAAAATATTGATATTTCTCAAGATATTTCTGAATATTTAGCTCAATATCTTGAATATTATGAGACCTTTTTATTTTTTAAATTGCCCATCAAGCTACGTTTTTTTTCACACATTGAAATTTGAAGCTCTGTTTGAGCAACAACATCTAAGGAACTATATTATTGAATTGAATTTCCCTTCTGGGATAAATAAAGTATTTTTCATTTCATTCATATGAATTTTTTGAAATCATATCTTTTAGACTCAGTTTGAAACAGTTTAATCAAAATGGATTTTCTTGCTTTGTGTTTAATTGGGAACAAACCTAGTCATTAATGGGACAAAAGTTACAGTGAGAGTGCATGTGTATTTATAGTAACTGATTAATAATAGTTTGATTTTAAGCATTGCTACCAATAAGTATTAAATAAATATATTTACTTATATTATCACTTTTAGACTCAGTTCTAAAAAGTGTTGTTTTTTTTTTCATTTTTGTGACCAAACATTTCACATTAAAAGGTATTTTATATGTTTTGTGTTGTATTATTGTCACATTCAGCTACATGTGGTTCAGAAAACATCACCAGTTGAATTCTGAATCATCCTTTGTATTTTATTTTATTTTATTTTTTAATCAATGTGGGCTTAAAGATGGGACTTTTCATGATGGCTTTCATTTTTTTTTCATACTTCATCCTACCCATAATCAGAAAGTATCTGATCTACCTGTACAATATGACAGATTCTGAATCAATGACATGATGAGAAATAACATTTCAGGCTTTTATCTTTTATAGTTCCTGAGATATTGTCGTTCAAACAGCCTCAAATTTTAATGTGTGAAAATTTGTTGGGCAATTCTTTTATTATTATCATATATTTTAGAAAGCGTTATATATTTCAGTATGAAATTATTTTAAATGTCCATAGTTTGTGATAGAAACATCAGAGATGATTGATCAGAAGGGCCCTGATGATTTGAGATGGAATAATATTAATAATAGTAATTTAAACATTAGCACAACTTTAAGATGAATATATATGAATTACAAACAGCATGCACAGTATGTTCTTTGCACCTTTGTGTGGATGCTTGTATTTCTTTGTACTCTGAGGCCTTGTTTGCCCGTTAGTTTGTGTTTATTCCTGCATCTGGTCATGTGTTGACCTCTTTCTGCTCCTCCAGTTGTGGAGGACATCAACAAGCGACGAGAGCCTCTCCCCAGCCTGGAGGCCATCTACCTGATTACACCCACAGAGAAGGTCAGCAGCTCCACTCTCCCTCCTCCTCCTCTCTTAGTGTATATTGTTATAAAGGTGTGTCTGTGGCAGCACGTTTGTATTTTTAGCAGCGCAAACAAAGACGCTGCTGTAAGTTCAAACACACAGCTGTTGACTCAGCGGAGGCAGATCACAAATAGACGCTGTTTAGTTTCCATGATGCCTCTCTTTACCGCCCTGCGTTTTTCACATTAAGATTCCTTTGTTGGTAGCACACAGTTTATAATGTCACTTCTAAGGTCACGCTTGTTTACACATTAATGCACGATGTAGAATAATGAAAGAAAAAGCTGATTTACATATCATTTATTGTTAATGTCAGAACTGTTGGAAACAAGATCAAATAAATAGACAAAGTGAGTCATTATGGCTTTAATCTCCAGGTTTTTATGATCTCATCAAGGCAGATTCTCATTGGTCAGACAGTCACATGTGTCATCTTTACTAGGAGAAAAGCGCTAAATCTGTAGCTTTTTCAGAACAATCCATTATACGTTGTGGTAGTGAGCGAAACAACTGTGAAATCCAGGATTTGGTTTTAAAAAGTCAGATTTTTTAACAACTTTGAACTCGTCCACCTTAATGAGAGACTTCTGGATCTCCAAACTCACCGACTTCATGTAGGAAAAGTTTGTTGTTATGGCCGGATTTGGTTCAAACAGATGGCAAAAAAGTTCACTTAAAACTTTGCAAACAGCAGTTTGTGTAGCACAGCTCAACAACAAACACGTCTGGTCATCTAAAAGCAGCAGGTTAACTTATCAGTGTTATATTCTTTAACAGGTCTTGTGCTGGAATCACCAGTTGATAGAGTTCTGTTTTCAGTAATAATATAAATTTGGGCAGATGCACACGTTAGTATAAAATAACCAGGTTACAATGATTTAAGTGCTCCAAATGCTCGCTTTTTAATTATTTATAGTCCATGCACTGTCTCCCATTTAGTTATTCAATAAAACCATTCAATTCATTGAAGAGTTGCATGATTTCTGAAGTTTTCTCTGGTTTACTGAAGCCTTCAAAGTCACATTTTGAAGCAGCTCAGAAGAGCTCAGTGGGGGTTTTTTGCACCACATTTTGCTGCTTTTGTGTCGTTGTTTGATCACTTTTGTGGTGTCACTTAACCTTTAAGGACACATTCAGCCCAGATCTGTTTAAAAAATCATCAAGAAAGCATCATGACAATAAAGCTTAATTGAGTTTTCTGTACTCATACACACCTATACTGACTCCCTGATTGTCTCTGTCCTTCTCCAGTCTGTCCACACCCTCATCGGAGACTTCAAAGACCCTCATTCAGCCAAATACAAGGCAGCCCATGTTTTCTTCACTGACTGTGAGTATCCACAAATACTTGTTTCTGTCCTTGTAATGCACCTTTATGTTCATATAGCTTGTACATTTTTTCTCTGTTTTTTGGTTTACATTACAACTAAATTGTTTGCTATGATTGACAGGTTTGGTTTTTTGCCTTTTTATGTTTTAACTCACTGATGTTTGTTGAGCATCTGAAATGTTTCCAGATCCCAGAATCTCCTCCTCCAGCTCTTTATTTTTGTCTTTAAACTCAAGTTTTTTACTTTTAGATAATCAATAGTAAACTGTAACACCAGTTTGGATGAGTTTCGACAGTACTTCAAGTGATGTAAAATGTAAAATAATGCACTAATTAACTAAATTCTTAACCTAAATCCACCTGTCTGAAGTCACACAGTGTGGCTTACTGTTAGATCCTGATTGATCAGGTTTCTATGTCAGGGATAATTTATACTTATAAGCAATTAATGAAGTTACTTCAACACTTGTCAACGTGTGCAACTTTCTCTATTTGGAGACGCTCATATGGATCCCGCTGATTTGATGCTGCAGATATTTAATATACTCAGAGGAAAGACTCCTAAAAAGCCGGAAGCAACAAACTTTAGCTGCTATACACTGTTTTTACTTTGATAGAGGAGGTACATTCAATAAAACATACGGAGCAGCTACCCTTTACTTTAAATATCTCTGATTAGAAATGTATTATAGTGCAGTTTTCAGTTCACAGGAGGTTTTGAAGCTGCTGTTTCTTATTACAACCAGTGATTTTTTTTTAAAATTTAACCTTTATTTAACCAGGAAAAGGCTCATTGAGATTAAAAATCTCTTTTACAAGAGTGTCCTGGCCAACAGGCAGCACCACAATTGACAGACAGACAAGGTCACAACAGCATCCACACAGACATCATACTCATAACACACGGTGAGATTACATATTGAAGATAAGAAATCAACATGTCAGCACAGATCAGAAACATAACTAGCCAAATAATCATCTGTCAAAGCATCTGAAGACTGATGATTTTGCCTCCGAATCATTTAGGAACACTTTAAACGTGTTTAAAGAGACCAGCTTTTGAGGTTTCAGGTTTTTTTGCAAAGTGTTCCAGGTAGAGGGAGCAGCGGATTTAAAAGCTTTCTTTCTCCGTTCGGTTCTAACCTTAGGAACAGACAGTAGTAACAGATCCTGGGACCGCAGACTGTAACCACTAGGAGCTTTTGTGCAAGTAAAAACCTGTAAATAACTAGGAAGCAGGCCTGAAATACATTCATAAAATTAAAATATGCCAGTGTTTTTTCCTTTGTGTGGACAAATCTGACCATTCAACACAAGAGTGCAACAAACAATGGTGTGGAAAAGACTTAAAACTGATGATAAACCTTAAAGGGCAGTGATAAACTGAATCTAATTGAATTTGGTTTTGCTTGAGTTTTAAGTCAAAGAAATGTGACTGGACGATGTTAAAAGCAGTTCGCAGTTGGGATGTAGTTGGTTCTGGTGCAGATGCTGAGGTGTATATCACTATCATCTGCATAAAAATCCTAGAACCGACCCCTGTGGAACGCCCTTGATAATTTAAATTAAAAGCTGTCAGTGTTTAACAATGCGCAGCTTTCACTATGACGGCATATTTCTTCATTTCACCGTTGTAAAAACTGCTGTTCCTTGTTTGTGTCCCCTCCAGCCTGCCCTGATCCTCTCTTCAACGAGCTGGTGAAGAGCCGCGCTTCCAAAACCATAAAGACTCTGACGGAGATCAACATCGCCTTCTTGCCCTACGAGTCTCAGGTGAGCATCCGGCCGCCTGGTACCAAACAATGACGGCTCTCTGTGGAGCGGATAGAAAACCTGATCGATGCGACTCAGTCTGTGAAACTTCTCATTTGCTGGTTGTACATTGCTGTGATGGAGTATTGATGCAAACAGCAGACTCGGGGTGTGACTACATCCATCAGTTCCTCGCTGGAGGAATAAACCCAGTAAACTGCGATTTGACAAAGAAGCAGACGCAAAAATGGCTTAAAAAAAAAACAGCATGTCTACATGAACCTACATGACATGTTGTACATCTGAACTGTTTTCTTTTTATTGCTGCTATTTGCCTCTTTTAGGATAAGAAAAGATCCCAAAAGGGAAATTCTTTTGCCCGATATTGCTCAGAAAACGAAATATACAGTCGTGACTCGATAATCTGACACTAAATGTAAAACCTTCTGTTATGTCGGATAGCAAGGCTGTCGGATTGTCAAGACGGAGGCGGAGATACAAGGCGGGCTTGATGCTTGAACGGCCACCTCCACCTCATGGGAGCGCTCCGACGGGGTGGAAGTGGCCGAAACGCACAGGCAGTATTTGGCTGCTGATGTTTAGTTAACGGTTACACTTCTGTTTCCACCATCAGTGGCGGCGGAGGGGGGGATAGAATACCACCACAACCACGTCGATGACATTGTAAATGTGCTGGCTCCAGTTGGACAACTACCTTAAAAAAAACACTTTAAAATCGCAAGATGCGCTCCACCGTTGCCATCCGTGTTTACTTCTGTCAACACTGAGCGCTCACTCCGTGTGACGTCGTCGTGTCCTCTTCTGCGCATGCGGGACACTTTTGGGTCGTATGAAGTTCACACAGCAGATCACATACAAGTCGCATTTAATAGGAGATGTGAACAAACTCGCAAAGAAAACGGATTTCACAAAAAAATCTGAATTGAGCATCAAGTCCTGCAGTCTGAACGTAGCCAATCTGATTGTTCAGTCAGATAATACGCCGTTATCCTGATTGGTGACATAAAACGTGATGTCGGAGTCAGAATCCAACGCTGTTTTTAATGGGTTCCGTTCGTTTTTGGATTGTTAAGGGTCGGATTATCAAGTCACGACTGTATAACTAAATTATTCGAGAAAAGCAGTGCCTAAAAAGAAAAGCAGTAAGATATGATACATTACTGGAAATACAAATAAGTGAAGAAATGTAATGAATAAAACTGACGATAATTCGGATGAAGTACATGTAACATCACACATGAAAAATGAAATATTGCACACTGCATTGACATATTGTGCAGGAAAATTAAAGACTACACATGATATTACAACTGATACTGCAAAAACTAATGAGAAAAGTAATACTGCAAAGGAAACTGATATTATTTAGATATAAATGTCCGATGTTTCAGCTGTCTTTCCTGCCTTAAGGCATAGATAAGATACGACTTTATTAATCCCACAGGACATTCTTGTGCCAAGCATTGCTCAGAAAAAACAAAAGACATAACCTAAGAAATGCAGTGCCTAAAAGTCCAAAGCAATAAGATATAAAAATGCTGGAATAAAATAAGTAAGGTAAAAAATACGGCTGGAACAGATCAGTAAAGGTATATATTAAGGTAACATGATAATGCGACAATAAAAAGAACTATTACGCCCAAAATGTGTAAAAATGAAGTCGACAGCGTTGTGCATGAAAGTCAAATGTTGCATAAAGCAGCCAGTGAAAGAAGCCTGCTTCACTTTTGTTGTCTGTTAGTGGTTGTGAGTAAAATCCAGGAAGGGGGGAGATAAAGATGCAGAGATAAAATCAAAACAAAAAAAGCCCGAGTACGAGCAGCTGGAGATCGATTAAGACAGGTGGGAGGAGGGAGACGCCGCGAAGGACACCGACAGGAATAGAAACAGCGAGATTATTGGCTGTTGGAGGACAAAAAAAAAAAAAAAAGAGGCAGCAATGGAGCAGAGAGAAGAACAACGAATGCACTCTCAGGTGGAGGCTCGGCACAATGCTGCTGACTCACCGGTCGGCCTGTTTACAGCCAGACTGTTCCAGAAAGGCTCACATTTGTCACATAAACATCCCTCCCTCCCACCTGCTTCCTTGTTCAATTTCCAAAATCCGGCCTCCATCCTCCATCTCTGCTTTTGCACGTCGCTCATGCTCGCTGCTCTGCATCCATCTTTTTTTTTTTTTGGTCATTCCTCTTTATTTTTTGCCTCCTCCAGCCATTTTTTTTTTCCCCAACAACCCTCCCTACACGACCTCCTTCACCCCGCTATCTCCCGTATCTGTCCATCCTTTTAGTCCCTCGCTATCTAAAGATGCTGCTCGGCCCACAATGCTTTGCTCTCCTCCTGTCTACTATGATTAATTCAGAGTCGGTGGTTTTCTGCTCCGGGCAAAATGCTGCCTCATAGCCCCGCCCACCACGGGCTGATGCGCTCGCCCCATTGGACGAGCCGGGAACCACACAGCGAGCGGCGGCCAATGGCAGCCGGGCTAACAGAGGGACCCTTCTGCAGTGGTCATGTGACCGTGGACAGATGGGGTGGGAGGAGGGAGTGGTGGGGATGCAGGAGGGGAAACATTAGGAGACGAGGAAATGAAAGAGGAGAGGATAGGGAAGGAGACGAAATGAGGAAAAGGCACAAAAGAGAGGAGAGAACAGGGATGAGGGCATGAGAAGAATAATAAAGGCGAGAAATCATTGAAGGAGAGGTGAGGGAGACATAAAAATGAGAGTGGAGATAGCACAGAGAATCAATAATCATCATGGAATCTAGTCCTGACAGAAGCTCTTCAGTCGGTTCACATGAAACACGAATGCAGATGCAGTAAAAGTCTATTCGCCATAAGTGGAAGCAAACAGAAAAAAAAAAAATCACAAAAAGGTTAAGATTTTCTTGTCCGTTTGCAGGTGTACTCTTTGGACAATCCAGATGCCTTCCACAGTTTCTACAGCCCCCACAAGACCCAGCTGAAGAACCCGGTGATGGAGAGGCTGGCCGAGCAGCTGGCGACGCTCTGCGCCACCCTGAAAGAGTATCCTGCCGTCAGATACCGAGGGTGAGCAACAGGGGGCGCTGCTGAGTGGCAGCCGTGGGTACAGACTGCTCTCCCAGTTCATAAAACTAAAGAATAAAACTGTACGGCATGTTTTTGGACAAATCTAAAATCATCCAATCACATCTTAACTGGCTACTTTTGATGAGTAACCAGTTAGTCTTACCAATGGTTAATTAATGTTTAAAAAAACCTACACACATAATCTCTTCTGAAGTCATTTTTCCTGCTTTTAGTTATATCTCTGCTGTCTAAAAGTGTCAACAGTGGTCAGTTTACTACTCACATCATCATGGACTTGAAAGTTTTTCCCCTTGTATTATTTTAAAACATAGATTTATGGTCAATTTATTTTGGTTTTTTATCAAGAATTTACAAAAAAATCCTTTTTCATTTAAGTGAAACAGATTTCTCCAAAGTAATGTCAGTTATTTAAAAATAAAAACACAGTGACTGTGCAAAAAAGAGACAAGTTAGGGACGCCACCAAGACACCTATGACTCCTCTGAAGGAGTTATGAACCAGTATTCACCTCCATGCTTCACATCATGATGCTGCCACCGCCATGCTTCACAGTGAGGATGATGTTGATGATGGTGTCTGGCAAATATAGCTTCTAGTCTGATAGTGAAGAAGCTCAGGTTTGGTCTCATCAGACCAAAGAACCCTTTTTCCGTTTGACTTTAGAGTCTCTCAAATCTGGTAAACTCTAGTTGATGGTTAATATGAGCTGTTTTTTAGACTGGTGAAGAACAGTAGTTGTATGAACAGTCTCTCCCGTCTCAGCTGCTGAAGCTTCTCCTTCAGAGGACTCTTAGGTGTCTTGGTGGCCTTACTCTCTATTTTCTTTCGTGCACGGTTGCTTAGTTATTGAGGACGATGTACGCATGCGCCATGCTCCTTCCATTTTGTAATGAGAGAGTTAACTGTACTCCAAACGAGTAAATCCTTTTTATTTACAGGTGCTTGGAGTGTTCTTTAGTCTTCATGGTGTAATTGTGTCCAGAATAAACAGTGACTGAACCTTCCAGATGTTTTTGTTTATACTACAATCACTTGAGACGTATTCTTTAGGAGCACAGTCGGACGGATCCTCTGGTTTTTATCGTAGTCAGCTGTGCAGGTGATTAGTTCAAGTAAAATTATTGACTTTAGTAACATCCACATTTGGGAATTTCAAACATACATTAAGACATATTTGTATTAATGTATGTATACGGGTCAAATAGTTTATTTAGCTTCGTCTGTTTTATTATATTTCGCTTTACCATCCGTCTTCTTCCCTTCTCCTCATAAGTTATCTGCTTTCCTGTCTTTCTATTCATCGTCTCCTCATAATTCCACTTTTCTGTCCGTCAGAGAGTACAAGGACAATGCCACCCTGGCCCAGCTGGTTCAGGACAAACTGGACGCCTACAAGGCCGATGATCCCACCATGGGAGAGGTGAGCGCTGGAGAATTCATGTTCATGTTTCTTCATTTAGTTTGTTTTTACCTCTTATCTCATATTCGCTGCGTGTTTTTTTTCAGTTTCTCATGAAGGAATGTTATCTCACTTCGTTGACTTCCATAGAATCTACAACATGCAGTGTTGCTTGTTGAATTCTACAGCGATACAAATGTTGTGTGTGTTTATTTTATTATTTGTGTTTGTAGGGTCCAGATAAGGCTCGCTCACAGCTGATCATCCTGGACAGGGCGTTTGACCCGGTGTCACCTGTGCTGCACGAGCTCACCTTCCAGGCCATGGGCTACGACCTGCTGCCCATCGAGAACGACGTCTACAAGTACGACAACTAAAAGCTGTGTAGTTACGAGCGAAACTACATCAGGTTCAATCACAAACTGGAGCCTAGATTCATATCGTTTGACTAAAATGCCTGTTTGTGTCCATTTCTTTCAGGTATGAGACCAGCGGCATCGGAGACTCTCGTGAGAAGGAGGTTCTCCTGCATGAAGACGATGACCTGTGGGTGAGCCTGAGACACAAACACATAGCCGAGGTGTCCCAGTGAGTACTTCTCTTTATACTTCACTCAGTCTTTTGACAGCAAATCAAACAATAAAACGTTTCTCTCATGTGTCACTGATGCTGATTTTCTATTTTGTCATCAGGGAGGTGACACGCCAGCTGAAGGACTTTTCTTCCAGCAAGAGGATGAACACCGGAGAGAAGGTACAGAAAAAGATGATGTTTGGGTTTAACATGCAGTTTTGGCTAAATGTTGGCACCAATAAATCCTCGGTGTATTTGTTGTTTCTACATGGTAAATTAAATGAATTCAGTCGTATAGGAGAGCAGAAATAAAATGTAATCTGATCTTAAATAAGGCAGTGTTTGTATTTGGTGACTTTAGAGGCAAAGATCTGCTTCTACATAAATAGATTGATAAAGATAAACATCGATGCCCCTGTTATGTCAGTAAATCTTCATTAAATATGGCGTTAAGTTTAGAGTACAGACTGGAAACAGCTGTTGAATGGACAACTTACTCTTTTTTTTTTCCCCAAAAAATTTTGAGCTGTTCCTTTAAATATATTTAGAAAACACGACCAGAATTTATTTTGATTTATTAACTTTTATTGTCACGTTTTTGTCGGCAGTGAAAACTGAATCTCGATGCTTCAGTTTCTTGGTTTTTGTTTCAGTTGAACACTTGCAGCAAAGGTTAAACTTGAAAAAGCATTATTTTAAGTTTATAATTTAGTGTATCATTAAATTTGACCAAATCTAGCTGCTTCTAAATGTTGGCGTCTGCTTGGTTTGTGATTACACCAAAGTCCAACATAAAGGCAGCTTGTTGCTAATAATATTGTCGGCTGTTTATGAGCATCTTACATCTACATCATCACACTTTTTATGGAAGTCATCATATAATTCGGGGTTGCTTTTGTTCCAACAGACCACAATGAGGGACCTGTCCCAGATGCTGAAGAAGATGCCTCAGTACCAGAAGGAGCTCAGCAAGGTTTGTGATTGTCTGCATGAGTCTGTGTTTCTCCTGTGTGTGTTCAAGTCTTTTATTCTGATGTCGTGCGTTTTGTCGTCTTTCAGTACTCCACTCACCTGCAGCTGGCTGAGGACTGTATGAAGCATTACCAGGGAACAGTGGACAAGCTGTGCCGCGTGGAACAGGTGAGAGACGAAAGAGGAAACGACAAGCAACGCTGGTAAAAAAAAAAAATCAAGACGGGGAGGGAAAAGGAATAAAGAAGAAAGACGAGACTAGTGGAATAAAGCTAAAGGAGGAAACTTTTTAAAGCTAACTGCAGTTTTTCATGCAGTTGAAGGTTCATGCTCACAGATGCATTAAAATATAATGTTTGAAATCTTTAGTGATTAAAGAGCCCATCATATGCTTTCTCTCTAAGGAGCTAAAGCAAGTGTTTCAGACAGATGGTGAGAAGAGGTGTTTTGTGAACATTAAAGTATGTAAACATATTACTGGTAGACCCTGATAATAAAATGATTAACCTGTAAATGAGCATAAGGCGGGCTCTTTAATGTACAGCGCTTTTATAGTCAGTAGAAATGTGTATTTGAGGATTTCAGACCATTTTAAGTGACAAACGTTGTATGAAACCCGAGTTTTCCGTTGCAGGATTTGGCTATGGGCACAGACGCCGAGGGAGAGAAGATCAAAGACCCCATGAGGGCCATCGTGCCCATCCTGCTGGATGCCAACGTCAGCACATACGACAAGATCCGCATCATCCTGCTTTACATTTTCCTCAAGAACGGTAAGAAGGAGAATGCAGGTCACGCAATGAAATCAACTCTGAAGTTTGTGCTGTCGTCTGTCGCTTGTTTTTTAGTTAAACCTGTTCTGTTTCTCAATTATTTTTGCTCTTTGTTGTCGCTTGAGCTGACGTCTTTTTAGATAATAACGCAGACTTGTGAGTATTAGTGTCTTTTCACTTCACATAAAACTGTTGAAATGCACAAAAAAACTCAGGAGTGCAGCCACATTAGCCTGGTAATTACAGTAAACACACAGTGAGTCAAGGCTTTAGTCACTTTTATAGTCCGTCACCAAGACAAAAGAGATGTCAGCTGACCTGCAAAAGTCAGAACTATGTGTCACAGCTCACAAACATTAATAAAAATGAGGCTGCGCAGGTCCGACTGGAACAATCCTACTCAGATATAATAAGCTGCTTCAAGTCGTATACGAGAAGTGCAGCGATGTCAAACTAAACAAAATGACTTTCATCCCAGAACAGACTGAACATATTAAATGTAAACACAGCCGGCGTCCATTTACAGTTCTGTGATATAACCTGCGTGTTTGTGTTCAGGCATCACGGAGGAGAACCTGAACAAGCTGATCCAACACGCTCAGATTCCACCTGAGGACAGTGAGATCATCACCAACATGGCTCACCTGGGCGTCCCCATCATCACAGACGTAAGGCCGACTCCCGATGCCCCCCTTCACTCTGTCACTCAGTCTTTGAGTCCTGACGTCTCTAGTTTATTATTTCTTTCTCTTTATTTATGACATCTGTTCTCTCATCTTCTCATTGTTCCCCGTCACTACAAATTGTGAAAACTTCGAAGTCGTTTTTCAAGTTTATCAAAGCTTTTTGAGCTGTTTTCGTACCTTTAAAAGTTCCACAAGTTTCAATTTATGTTATCTAAATCAGTTTGACTTAACATATGTTGTCTGCCGCAATGAAATACAGACATAGCTGCTTGTTAGCAAAGATGCTATTTGTGTAATTGTATGTTAAACACCTTTACACTATCTTCCTTGCTGCTGTAACACTTCAAATTTCCTTGTTGTAGGATTTTAAAAAAAGCTTATGTTAGGCTACGTTATCCTAGCTTAGCTTAGCTTAGCTTATCTGAAACTTGATCAGAGACTGAGGCCCACATGTATCATCCAGTAGGAAAAACCCAGTAAATTCAGATCTATAAATGGCAGCAAAATGCATCAAATATCAAAACTTTATTTTTTAAAAACCTATAAAAAAGTCATGTTTCGCTGTGTTATCAAACCAGAGAGAAACAAACAGTGTACGGAGGAGGCTGAGGTTTAGTATGTAGGACGCAAAGGAGCATTTTAAACTGAAACTACACCCACAGATGAAGATGTTTGTGGTGTTCAAAGTCCCTGCTTGCTCTGAACAATGTGATAAGAGTTTCTGTGGCTGTAGCAGAACACGTGAACTACTACCACAGCTGTGTTGATGCTGACTATTTTTATAATTTATGTAACGTTATGGATATGCGTGTGAGCAATTTAAAGATCTATAAATATAGACCATCCAGCATCATGAAGCGCTTTAATTCACACTCAGCTCAAAACGTTTTGAACAGGAATGAGGAATTTCAAACTGAATTCGCCTTTTTATACCCAAATCTGAGCCACTGGGCTTCTCTGAGAAATGAATCAAGCACAACATTCAACCACTAAAACAAACTTTTCTGTTAAGGAATGCAAGTAAACAACTATAATTTGACATCTTAATCAAGAAATAATAATGTGCTTTACTATTTTTTTCTCTTTTTTTTGTACAACAAGCTCATGGATAAAAATAATAATTTTATTTTAGCATTAAAAATATCATTTCAGTTAAAGAGCTTCTACATACTGCTGCATTAACCATTACAGAAACATAAATGATTTTTGGTAATTACCAAAGCTGTTAATTTAGGGCAGATGTGGCATAAACCTGACATTGGTTGGTGGTCTAAGACATTTTTTGAGCACTGTATGTTTAATTTTTAAACATAAAGCCTGTTGCAGTCTTAGTTTACGGCTCATAGGCTGAACATTCTGTCACCCAGTGGATAAATGAACCACCTTGGAAGCCTCTTCAGATCAGATTTAGCAGAACAATGAAAATAACTAAATCTATACGGGGATGGATTACTTCTAAAGCGAATGTCTTTGCAGGGAAATTTTAGTTTTGTGTCAAACTGATACAGCAGCTGCCTGGAAAAAGAAAAATCAATGAGGATGTTTCTTTCTTTATGTAACCCAACATCCACCATAACACAAAGAACAAAATAAATCCTGATACATGAGCACAAGAGTCACCAAGATGATCCATTTCTGTGTCTCTTCTTTCCTTCATCAGTCGACCCTCCGCAGAGGGAAGAAGCTGGACAGGAAGGAGCGTGTGAGCGAGCAGACCTACCAGCTGTCCCGCTGGACACCACTGGTCAAGGACATCATGGAGGTGTGTTCCTGCTTCTTGTTCTCTACGTGTGTTGTTGCAGGAAAGCTTTATTCAACCCGATCTCTGTTATTTTTTTTACCCCCTCAAACTAGAATCAACAAACTAATTTAGCAGAGCGGTTATTTATTTTGCAGCTCGAGTCAAACATCAGTTTTTCCAGCTCGGTTGTCATCGACTATATTTAGCCCCTTATTTGTGCAAAGCTAATTCTCCGATGGACCTCCACATGTGGTTGCTAAGAGATGTGATACAACTGTGAAGCCCCTATTCAGATGACTGTATTTATATATATGTGTGAGTGTGTGAGGCGGATAATATCGCTGTTTGGTCTCCTGCAGGATGCTATTGATGACAAGCTGGACACCAAGCACTACCCCTACATCTCCACCCGCTCCTCTGCCTCCTTCAGCACCACTGCAGTCAGGTACAGACTCGCCTCACGTGCACTCAGATGGGTTTTTTTTCATGGTTGTGGCTTTTTCATTTGCATTGGATCAATAATCATTTGGGAAGGGGGACGATGGATCAATATCTGGGAACAATTTAAGACATGGAGGTGATTCTGATGGCTAAAAAAAAAAACACTAGGGGCACAGAAATCACCAAATCTTGTGCATATTTTAGGATTTTATTGTAAAAACGGACTCTAGAAGTTACCACATTTTGAAAGTAATTAGTTTTAATTGTTCTTTTATTACATTTTGTTAGTGTTTACTTCATTTAAATGCCTTTTTCAGCCTTAATACAACAGGAAAATAATCTGAGATTGATAGTCCTTGATCAAAATTAAACTGTGTCCTCCACAAAATACTTATTAGAATCTAATATATCAACCCCCCCGGCTTCTCTCTAATACAATGTGAGGAAGCTGACCTGATTATCAGTTCGTATTATTCCTCCACTCCGCTGCATGTGTTCAGGCTGTTTTATTGATTCAGCATCACGTCCTCTTGCTGCTGCAAACTGATCGGCCTCATTTACTGTCCCTCCCCCGCAGATACAAACCCGCTGCACTGCATCTCGTTAGAACACATGCAGGTTACAGAGATGCAGATAAAAAATCTTGTGAAACTCTGGCTACAGCTTAGGTTGACATTTTCACTTAAATATTAAATCTTAATAATGTGTAAGGCCAAATAGAGTTATTCTGTGAATCAGTCATCTGTTTTTCTGGATTGTAATGTAACCACCTTGCTTTTTTAGCCTCACCAGCACCAGTTTTCAGTAACTAAAGCTCTAAATTTCATCTGTACAGCACGAGACTGTAGACAGACACAGTTAGCAACTAGAAGAAAATGTTCCAGCTTAAAATGGTCAAAAAAATATAGACAAAAACACAAATACATGAAGAAATCTGTCATTTTTGCACCGTATATAACTAAATGAACTTTTTCCGGGAATTTAGTTTTAGATTTTGCAAACAGAACCCATTTCAATACTCATGTCGGTCTGTTTTTAGATACTTTTTCCAAAACCGGAGCTAAAGGACAGTAAATATTGACATTGCCAGTAACAAAACTCCAATTAAGTTCAAATGCAGCTCTGTAGAAGCTCATATGTTTGACTTAATAAATATTAAAGGATGTGTAAACACCGTGTTCACAGCTTGGCCAAGTGGCCTCGATATGCGTATTACTATTCAGTGGAAGGACTCCGCCAAGAGGCCAAACCTTCCGGATGCAAAGGTCGAGCCAAGTGTCGTTAAATGAACCCGTCTGGCTGACAGAAGAGGTTTTTTATTTGCGTCACCAGCTGCTCCCGTTCTTCCTCTTGCATCTTGTAGTTCCGCTCCTGTCAACAAGCAGCTCCACAGGCCAAGATGACAATCGGGACAAGAGCCAAGACTTAAGTTAGCTACTGAATTGGGACGCCGGTTATACGTGGCTGGAGAGGAAATAGTACCTGGAAGACTGAAGCTCGTGCCAAGAGCCTCAGTGTCGTCCAACAAACACAATAATTCTGTCACGAAAGGATGCGACTTTCATCAAACTGAAATCCATCCTCTGATTAAACGACATGAAGTCTGTCACCACTGCATTAATCTGCTCAATACGAGACGACTGTAACTCTGTGTATCTGGATATGAGCCACTCCTCTCTGTTTAAGACTTCTAACTGGTACCAGAAACAATGGAAAGCATCACTCCTGTACTTGCATCAATACACGGGCTACCAGTTACATACAGAGTTGATTTTAGGCTTCTCTTATTTGTTTTTAAATGCATGCATGTGTTGGCACCCGCGAATAGTTCAGAACTTCTTTGCCACTACTCGACTTCTACGTTTTTTGGAGGCTGGTGCATTTCAGTATCAGCTCTAAACCTTTCGAACAGCCTTCCTCTTTTAGTAAATGTTTGATATTTTAAAGAAAAATCTCAAGATGTAAGTGTTTTCTATGGCTTTCGGCTGCACCTAATGGTCTTAATGTTTTTTTTATTTTAGAACTTGATCTCACAAGTTGCTGTCCTGTTTTAGTATTTTGTTCTGTTTGATTTTGACAGAAAACAACAAAAACTACTGAACAAAGGGACATAAAACAACACAAAACGGCAAAAACAACCAAAAAAAGTCTCTGAAAATGATGCAAAATGCAAAGAATTTGTCTCTTAGAAACAGCTTTTTGCCAACTGCATTGTCTGTCTTTGTATAATTTTGTTGCTGCCTGTCTGATAACATGTACAGCAGTTTGGTCAACTTTGAACGTGCTCTATGAACTAATTTAATTCAATTTGAAAGCTTTAAACAGCAAACTTTTTGCAGCCAATGCAACAGGGTAAAAGGCGAATAGTGAGGCACAAGATTGAAAACAACAGAGTTGTTCATTTTACAGATGCATCCATGAAACATTCTCCATATTTAGTAAATTATTGCTGAACTAAATACAATGACAGATAAAGGAGAAAGCTAACCGTACTAACGTGTTTGTCTCCGGCAGTGCTCGGTACGGACACTGGCACAAGAACAAGACACCTGGAGAGTACCGCACCGGGCCTCGCGTCATGGTCTTCATCATCGGCGGCGCGTCCTTCAGCGAGATGCGCTGCGCCTATGAAGTCACGCAGGCCAATGGGAAGTGGGAGGCCGTCATCGGTGAGTAGCGCTACAGGAGGCGCCGCTGAGTGCAGGATGACAGGAAATAAGGAAGCACGAAGGCTCCACGTGTAGGCCGTGTTTACTCAAAGACACGCCGAGCGAGACCTCAAAGGCAGAGTTTGTGTGTTTCTGAGTGGACGTAGTTTAGAAAAAAGACACAAGCTGCATCCTGATTCACAGCATTTGTTGCATTTAAAGAAGATCGTGAATCTCACTTCAGGTCCTCTGATGCTCCTGAACTGGGACGCAGCTGAAAACATAAAGATGAAGGGAGTAAACTTAAGAGAGCGATGGAGGTAGAAGTGCAAACTCAGAGTAGAGAAAGACTAATTAAGCTTGTTGTGATACATTAAACCCCGTTTTAGATTCTCGTGATTCACGTTTTAGTCTGTGAGCGATACTTTTTGGAATTTCTTTACAAGATTATTCAGTATTTCTGTGACAAAATTATAGAAAACACCGACAAAAACACATTTTCAGACCAACACATGATCAAATGTGGTATTTTTGTGCTGTATTTAACTAAATAAACTTTCTCTCTTTTCCCTTTTTGAGCACAAAGTGACATTTCAGGAATTTTTGGTTCAGTTTCTTGCGAATAGAACCCATTCCGACACTCACGTAGGTCTGTTTAATATCCTTCTGGACGCGCCACCTTACACGTCTCTACCGCCGTCCTGCTGCGGCGCTTTATTTTGAAAGGTTCTAGCCGCAGATAGCCGTTACGACCTGCCTACTGTGTGCAATGTGTTCTGTTAAAGTAGCCCTTTATGTTATGCCCCTCTGTGTACTGTTTATCCGATGTGTTCAAGCTTCGCCAGCCAGCCTGTGTTATAAATGGGAAAGTGTCTTGTTTAGTTTCTGTTGTTGCTCTGCTTCAGCTGTTGTCTTTTAAAAAAAACAACTGTTGTCTTTAAATTTGCAGCCACGCCATGTCTTTTTCTGTGTGTGTGTGTGTGTGTGTGTGCGTCCTCCCGTTTTTTCTTGTGTTTGTGAACATGGCGAGTTTGTGGTGTGTGTGTATGAGCGCGAGTGTGTGTCTCTGTGTGCGCGACCGGTTGCTTGTTTCTGACCCTTTTTGTGTTGCTTTTGTTAGTTTTTGTTCTGGTTTTGGAGCGAGTGGGGTTTTTTAGGGGCATGTGCTGTGAGACGAGTGGTGAAGCCACTTCTGTTCCTCCACAGGTTCCACCCACATGCTCACCCCCACCAAATTCTTATCGGACCTGCAGCACCCCGACTTCCGAGAGTCCACTAGGGTGTCCTTTGAGGACGCAGACCCCTCAGCCGAGTGAGGCAGAGACAGATTGGGAGGGAGGGAGAGAGAAATCACACAGAAAAAAGTAAAGGCAGCCGCACAAAGAAGCCCTTTCTGAACCTTCACAGCACAAGGGCTTCCTCCTTGTTCCTTCTTTGAACTCTCAGTACTGTTTTTTATGTAACTCCACCCTCCTGCTCCCCCGTGTCCCTCAGGGATGGACACCCCCGACCTTTCCTCAATGCATGGGCCGCTCCATCAGGCTGAACGCCCCCCTGTATGACATTTACCAGAACAGGAATCCTGCTGTTGCATGCAGCAGGTGTATCCAGGCTAGAACCTCCATCACAGCGTGTTTTTGACAAGTTTTTTAAGTTTAGGACTCATGTGGACTTCAGACTGACAAAACAAGAGCATAGAAAGTATGATGAGGCCCAACTTGCATCATGGAGAAACAATATTTAACCAAATTATGTTGTAGGAAGAGAAATGAATTTGGTAAAAAGCTGAGAAAAGCAAAAGTCTTGGTGGCCATGCCTGAGGAGGTCGTGACCCCATCCCTGCTGCCTCCTCCCATCATCTCCGCTGGGTGGATTAAATCGTCCCTTGATGGCCACCCGAAAAGGCCCTTTGAGCCTGTTTTTAAACGCCAGATTTAATCTACCCCGACATCTTTATCAGTTTGTACTGTCTGATTATTTTTCCAGTTAGCTCTTTGCAACGACAGCCACCTTGGTTTCTTTTCAGGACAGGTCCTTGAGTTGATGTTGAATTTCAAAGAAGCATTTTCTCCGTTCTTTTTTTTTCCCTTGTGTGTTTTATTCTTCTTATGTTTGTTTTTGGGTTTTTTTGACTCCCAGTCCTTCGACTTTGTCCACTCAGCCCACCATCACATGCTCACATGGCTCATGGCTCGTCTGCAGAGGGGGGCCGGATCGTGATTGAATGTCTTGCCGGGTGCTGACACACAGGGCAACTCTGGGGCAGAAACATAGATGGGAAACGGTCAAGAGACGAAAAATTAATTTCACTTGGGTCACCCAAACCTTTGCCCTCTGTATCACTGCCTCCATGACGCCTCTTTGCTGACACAGTCTGAGAATGTAGCATTGATCCACCTGATATGCTTTAGCAACTAAAAATAATGATGCCACACATGTCAAACTAATCCTTGCTCCCGTAGTGTAGACTCTTCATTTCTCCCAAGAATCATCCTTTATCCCAGCGCTCTGTTCATTTTCTTGACGCAGGAACACATAAACTATTGAATACATGCAGATAATACTTCCTGTAGGACTTAAATCCATATTTTACCAAAGCTAAACATACTTAGCAGTTTTTGATCAGCATCTGAATCTGGATTTACATCTAAATATTACCAGTAATTGATAAATTAGTCACTCAGTTCCTCGAAAATCTTTACTGTTGTGCCACCTGTTGGTGAAAGATTGCTCCAGTTTAATATGAGTGGGCAAACAAAAAACCCATTTAAGAGTTAGACCTCGTGTCAGGAATTTGGGAACTTTGGTCAAAGTGCATGTGAGTGGCTTTCATTGATAAAATCCGATTTGTTTTAAACCAAGTGGTAAAAGGAAAACCAGAGTTTTCTTTTATGTCTTGACCAAGAAACTGAGTTCATTAGTAGAAACACACCAAAAAAACTGCTCTGTTCTTCTTCAACTGGCTGAAATCTGCAAAATGACTTTGAATTTTATCGCAGTTTTTTAAAGAATCCATCAAACATATGGGGCAGTTTAAAATATAACAGTAATAATAAGTAATAACACCCATGACTGGTAACTTCCTCAGTGTTTCTGTAATTTCTGAGCCATGTAGTTTCCAGTATGTTGGGATTTAAAGCAGGACTTTCACCCACTAAAGGCAGACTTCTGTATTCCTGGGCATCCATCTCATTCATGACTAATCTGCTAAAGCAATATCGATTCCAAACCGACTTCCGATGGTTTCCTCAGTGAGCAGCTCTCACCATTAGCAGTATGACCGTCCCCCTACATACTGCCACATTCAACACTTCCCGAGCAAAATGGCCATCACGTACTAAAACAAGTCTTTGTTTTTGCAATGCTGTTTTGGTCTGAACCCGGTCACACGTAGTGATGTCGTGGCGTTGTAGATCGACACCACCGTGTTGTGTTTCTGGGGCCGACAAAGGCCCACGAAGCTGCGTGTTTGGGGAACAGCAGAGAAGCAGGCGAGGCCTTTCCCACATCTGTGGTCCACACTTGAACCCACGACACCCACGACCCCCCACATCACCATAACTGCACCACTTGAGATGGGCTTGCCTCTTTCTCTTCTGTTTTTACCTCCAACTACCTCCTCTTCCTGTTGTGGAAGCTTTAGTGGTAACTGCAGGCGAACATCTTTGAGGTAAAAAAAACATAAAAATCGAGCCAAACAGGAAGAAAACATGCAGCTTTGCAACAGAAACAAACCGAAAGTAGGTAAAAAAAACTGTTGAAAGTGTTGAACAGGTGTGAGGAGTAAATCAAATCAGGCTGTTTGCCTCCTTTACCATCAGGAACTAAGATGGCAGTAAGTCCATCGGGAAATCTGGTAAGGTAGCGACAAACCAATCCGGCAAAGTTTTTGCTTTACTCCAGTCCAGCACCTTTCAAGTTTTAAAAATGTCGGAAATGTGTCTTCAGCTGTCACTAAAGTCCATCTCCGTGTCATTAGGGCGACTCATTCTTACATTAGACGATAAACTCCGGTTCTAGATGTCACGACATGTAGAGAAGATCTGCTGGTGTCTCTTTATGCAGTGTTGTTGTAGCTTTTTGAGCAGCAGGTGCACCTTTTGATTGACTGTTCCATGTGTACAGGTTTGGTGTTGCAGGTTTTCTAACATAGTCGTAAGAATCCGCCACCTCTGGTCCGTGTGCTTCCATGGCTGCATGTGATTTAACGAGGCTGAATAACTTAGTGTATGTTTGTGAAATTAAGGAGCTATAGAGGAAGTGTATGCAATTAAATCAAAATTAAAACCTCAGACTGTATATAAAAGATGGACGTACCCACTCTGACATCACCTATTTGCTTGCAGACAACAGCTTTGAAGCTAAGACTTTAGAAATTGATCCAAATTGAAACCAGACCATTCTTTAGCGTTGTGTAGAATAGTCTGACCACACTTCATTATGATTCTGCTATAGGGGTTAAAAAAAATCAATTAAAGGCTGTGGCGTGTTTGTATATCTTTAAACCAATCGCAGTCGTATTGGGCGGGGCTAAATGCAGATGCAGTGACGGTGTTTACTCCAAATACTGACGTGGAATCGTTGGAGCGGAAAATTTTGCATGCAGCGAGGTGAACACTGTCATTAAAATTGGATAATTAGCTGGAAAAACTAGCAGGACTACTTTACGGTTCCAAATCTTTAGCAAAACTCAAAATTTGGAGTAGATTGCCACGTGAAGGTCACTGTTTCCTGTAGTTAAGGGGATTTTAACAACGGAAACTTGCTGATTGAGCCACTCATGTCAACCTTATACTCACAATCTACCAAAAGTAATGAACAATAAATGAATCTGACTAGAAGAGAACTATCAATCAATCAATCACAAAGTAGCCTCATGCTAAAACTTATCCGACTGTTTTACTCTAAATGGAACCATAGTTTACAAAATGAACATCCTGCTGTATTAAAGAAGACTCAGAACTAAAGATTGAGACCATAAACTCATTAGGAAACTGTTGACTGAACTAGTAAACGAAATGAAAAGTAGGCAAATTTTCTCTTCTTTTGAATCCAGAGGAGTCGCCTCCTGCTGGCTGTCGGAAAGAATGCAGGTTTAAAGCATTTCTACGTCGACTTTAAACTGGCAGGCTGCGTCCATTTTTTATATACAGTCTATGATTAAAAGACAAATGTTAAAACAAGAGATGGATATGGATGTTGATAGGTAACTGGATATGTGAATAAGATTTAAATGCCCACAATTGGACCCATGAGGTTTTCCATCCTGGTAAAGTTCTAGATCTAAAGTACCTTAACCTGTGAAATAACTCGTGGCTGTAGCTGGTGTTATAAGATTTGTTTGTGATTCGTGTAAAGTGGCTTTGCTGTAACACCCCTCCAAGTAAAAAGGTTTTAAAATGGACATACTCAAAGCAATTAACCTCCCTTAACCGCATTACAACCTCCCCCCATAGCGCTAGCTTGTCGATCCATTTTAACCTGCAGACTAACTGGTTATGAGTTCATAACTTTGGGTTGGTTCTAACTTTTACTTCCATCACGTCAGGCTGTCCTCATCTAGAATAGGCATCCATAACAAGAGCTGAAAACACATTTTTCTCTGTACCTGTTTGTTCCCAATCGTGCAGATCTGACGCTCTTTTTGTGTGGTTGTGTGTGTGTTGTTTTTTGTGTGCGTGTTTCCAGGATCGACCCACATCTTCACTCCCACCAGCCTGCTGGAGCAGCTCAAGGCCATGAACAAACCAGACGAGGAAGTGACAAGCTAAAATCCTCCAATCACATCTCTCTCCTCCCAACCTCAGCTAACCCCCCATCCAGCCGCCCGTCTTACCTCCACATCCTCCCCCCCACAACCAAATCCCACCCATTAACTGTGTATGCATCTTGCTTGAGAAGAAAAAAACAAAAAAAAACGACATCTTAGATGATAAAAAAATATATGTTATATCAAAGAATAAAACTGTTGCAAGTATTCTCATGTTTTACAATGGATGCAACTAAATAAACTTATTTAAAAAGGTTTAAATATCAGAACAGAAGGCCATTTAAAACGGAAAAGTACCAAAATGTAATATTGTATGCTATAAAAACCTGCTAGAATGTGTAAAAGGTAGACATTTTTCTCTTGTTTGTTCCTTTGGGTTACTTCCTCGCTGTGAGTTTTATTGGAAGCGGGTGGAGGAGGGATGTGCCGTCTGAGAGGTTCATATTGTAAAATATATCAGTCAACATGCAATATATGTGTATAAATAATTTCTTCAGAGAGGAGTCCTCCCCCCTGCCTTCACCTATTTGAGATGTTCGTATTCAGTAGCATGCTTGGACTTGTGTGGACTGTTACTGTGTTTGTACCCGGCGTGGATGTTCTGAGAGGCACAGAGTTAGCATTTAGCTGTTTCCTAAGACGTTGCGGTTGAATAACTCCACCGAAAACTGTAGTTTTGAGTATCAAAGCGGATAAAACAGTTTATTAGATCTGCACGGCTTCGTTTCGTGTGCACAATTCTGTGTATTTTATAGAATTACGCACCTTAAACGAAGCTTAGTTTTGAGCGTGTAATGCAGAAATACGCACGCCAAAAAAAGACAGCTATGTAATCCTGCACATACTATACCCCCGGTGGCCAAAGCGTGGAATTGCTTTTTTTAATATGTGTAATTAATTATGAGAAATAAGCCTGCCAGGTGTGTAACCACATTTGTAAAAGGTTTTATGATGAGGCGTATGAACCACCATGCATTTATTGACGTTACGCAGCTAGCATGTGTCAAACTACACAATTTGACTGTCAACTTAGCCTAGCGACTGAATAGCCGCTTAGCTAATTTATTTTTCTAACTTCCTGGACCCTGAAGAACATTATTAGCAAGGTTTCAGTAGAATTCAATGGACTTCAGGTTGACTGGAAACATGGAAAAAGGCTGAAGTATTTGGTCACTTTACCCTGAAATTAGGTATAAAAAGTGTTTTTTTTCCCAGAAGATTAATCCTCTGCTGAGTGCAACAACTGGATGTTTCCTTAACTAGTGGTTAGAAAGCAGGCGGTCGACTTTTTGGCGGGACACGTCATCTTTGCCATTTTGGAAGTCTGCTATAGATTTCTTTAAGTGGTGAGTGTGGTCGACCTCGGTGCACCCTCACAAAATGGTGTAATGTCCCTTAAATGGTGGTTACTTTCGTCACTTTTATTTTAATTTGTGGAGGTGATGCTTTCATTTGTAGCCACTGTTCATTGTTTACATGTGACTTAGCTATTAGCTAACTAAGCTAGCGACAAACAACGGTCGTACTTTAAGGCACTTTTGGCGGGAAATGTGGATGTTGAAAGCATCTACGGATGTTTTGATAGTCTTTCGTTGTGTCTTCAATTTTAGCTGCTTCCCTCCACAACTCTGTAATGTACGTCTACAACTCGCAAACGTTTGATACTCAAAACAAGTTTTCGGTTCAGTTTGAATCGCTTGGTTGGGCAGACGAGGAAAAGAGAACGAGCTCTGTAAAAAAAAGCCAGAATCATCCCTCCTCCGGCTGCCGAGACTGTAAAGTATTTCCTCACCACGACCTTTTTTCCTTTCTCCGGAGAGACTTCACGTTTTAATGTCGAAAAGGCCGTTGCTTGCTGATATTTAATGAATAATCTTAAAAAGGGCCAGTTGTATTTCAGTATTGTATCCTGTCAGATTAAGTCTTATCATTGGTTAGTAATGATGTTTAATTGGGCCATGCACTCGGTAGTGTTGTGTATATGCCATATGTTGCTGTTTTAGCGTCTCACTGTTGACTGGTGATTTTTCTGACTGTGAAGTAGTGATAACTTTTCCTTTTAAAAATGCCAATGTGAAGCCGCCGTGTTTGTGACGTTTTAGCTGTAGCTGTTAGTGGTCAAAAACTGGGAAAAAGATCTAATATCTATATTTTCTTTGTCTGTTTCCTCCTCTGGTGCAATGTAAAACCCTCCAATGGTGAATGGCTTTGCAAGAAGACAAAAAAAAAAACAAAGAACCTTCAACCCACGCCACTTTATTTTCCTCCCTCCCTTTGCCTCTTTCCTGGCCAAACAAGTTGTATATTGCACTATAATGCGTTTTCTGTGATGCAAACGCTTGGGTTTGTGTTTATTTTTGTTTTTCTATTATAATTTGCTGTTGTATAGGGTTTACTCTGTCGAAGCAATTGATTTATATCAAAATTATTTATCAGAGAAAATAATATTGAAACATTAGTCTGTCCTCAAACTGTTTAACTTATTGGGATTGTATGTTTGCGAGTGTTGAAGCACAAACAATACTTCCATGTGTACCTAATATGTACTAAGGCTGTCTAATAAATTGGCTTCCATTATATCAAAGACTCTACTTTTTTTTTTACATTCCCAGTTCCAGTAGTTCCTTCAAAACGTTTTATTCAGATAAATTCTGATTTTGTATAATATTATTGGATCCCAACCTTAATGTCTAATAAGGTAAATTTGAATTGATGTAATATTGTCGGGTTTTAACAGTAATATTTAAATAAGTTAGAAATATCTGTAGGATAATGTAACTTAAATATTTATTGTAAATGTAAATGTCACAAAACATCAGAGTATATAGAGAACCTAGTGTATAGTGTGTAAATATCTGAAAACGCATCAGGATGTAGTATATAGTGGGAAAAGTGTCCTGAATGTGTTTAAAGACAGCTTAGGAAGGT